TTTCGTCTTGTCCCACTATCATGCTCAGCCTTCATTTGGGTTTCAGTAATTCCTCTTGGTTACATTACCCTTGATCATGCCCTACCAGGCCTCCTACACCCTCCTCACCACTGATTTGGGTCAGTTGTTGTTTCCTTGTCCCTGGGTTTCTTAATACCATTTCCTTTCCCCCTGCCTCCCCTTGTCTCATGTCCTTCCCTCCCCCCTGGAACCATTGGTCCCATTGTTTTATCCTCCAGAATGTTCATCCAGCCTATCTTATTTAAGCAGACCTGCAGAGATAATAACATGCACATAAACAAGACAGCGCAAAATAAAGCAACAAAAGGAAACAAAACAACAACAAAAAAGAAAAGCCTATAGTTAGTTCAAGGACTGTTTGTTGGCCTTGAGGAGTGTGGAAAGCAACACATTAAAAAAATAATTATGTGCCCTGGATGACTAAGATTTATATTTACAAAGCCAGCCATTTTTTTCAAATAGCATGGAAATGTGTCAGTACTGCGACAAAATTAGTCAAGACATAAAAACTAAGAAATCAACCAAAATACTGAACTATGCAAACACTTTAAAGCCATGTCTTATTATCCTGTTTATCCACAAGCGGAGCTGGGACACTGGTGAGGATGGGAGTGAAGGAGGAAATCCAATGAAATTCTGTGTAGTTTTGAGGTGGTTTGATGGTCTCTAAGTGGGGAAGGGAGGAATCAAGGGAGTACACATTGTTCTGATTTTGAGTTATGGAACTGAAATGCTTCTTTGGAAAAGTTTAGACTCAAATTGTATATGTAGTCCTTATTAATCCACTGTCTCCTTATCCAGTGTTTCACATTGACAATAGTAGAACAATCTATCTAACTAGTTTGCACATTCACCACAATAACAAATGCCAATGTAAAGTGAGACCAACACCAGCAGTGATTGTTATGTGTTAACTTGGCTGCGACAGCATTCTCAGTGGTTTGGCAATTATATAATGGTGAACTTTGCCATTTGTATAAGAACTAAACTAAATGCAATGATGTAGTTTTCCTCTGTTTTGTGCAGGGTGTGGTCTTCGTCCATTTTGCAGAATGCTTTTTTTTAACATAGTAACTCAGTCTTAGGAACCTTGCCATGTAAATAAGTGGAGAGTGTGTGCATTTTCCTTCTTTGTATTTGTATGCAACATCAATATGAAGGTGTTCCCTGTTTTGTACATATGTCTAAAATTTGGTAAATCTTCACACCAATATGGCCCACGATTTGCCTTGTACACGTCATTACACTGCCTAACACTCATCTTAGTGCCTCAGTTGTTAGACTTCTTTCTGGGAGTAGTTGACCTGGAGATTCAAAAAAATGGCACCAGTTTCACCTCAGCTGTAGTTTTTGAGAAATACAATATATATCATGTACCACTCTTCACTCTGCTCACCCATTGAAAAGCGGGTGATTTAATGTACTGTCAGCTAGCCTGAGATGGAGGAACTGAAAGCTGTCTTTATTTAGTTTTATAATAAATAGTTAGGTCAAGTTATATGTCATATGGTGTC